AGATTGGGGATTCCATCTCCAAATAGGGAGATTCAGCCAGAGGGATCTCACTGTCCCTCTAAAAAGTCAGTGACGATTCCATGAGTGGTGGCAGCGAATTTAAGGAGTGAGATATGCCCACGGGATGAGGGTGGGAGGCAAACAGCTGAGTTGTAAACTGGAGCCCATTTCACCATGGTAGGCAACCAAGCTTGGTTCAGACAAAGGAAACCCTTTGCAGGCCTTTGTGAGGAACTCATTGGGGCCAGTCCTGACTAGGGTTTCCAGCTCCAGATAGGGAGATTCCTGGAGATTTTCTGGTAGAGTCTATGGAAACCAGGGTTTGGGGAGGGGAGAGGCCTCAGCTGAACAGAATGCCATACAGCCCACCTTCCAAAGCAGTTATTTTCTCCGGGGGGGGGGAGAGATGTGTTTTCTGGAGTTCAGTTGTGATACCTGATGATCTTCAGGCTCCACCTGGAGGTTGACTGCCCTAGGCGTAGCAGTCAGTGCTTCAGAGCAGGGTCTGCTAGATCCAGGTTCTTGCTGTAGAAGCTGAGTGGGTGATTTTGGACCAGTCACAGGTTCTAGTGTATAAACCATGTTCTCAAGAGTCTATCTCTGATTATATGACTTCTTTCTTGTGTTATGGTTGTTATAGTTGATTACTTAATTCATAAATAATTGTGTAAGCCTTCATCAAGGTCTGCTGATTCAAGTTTTACTATTCTTTGTCTTGGGTTTTTAATCCACAATCCGGATCAAACCTGCCACTCGGTAATATAATTTTATATTTGGAACTCTTGATTTCCTGCCATTCCAAATAAATTTATTTGTCTCTACCACTCTTTCAATATTCCTTCTTCTATATGTATGGATAACATTTGAAACAAAAAAAATTAGTTTTGGTAATACATTTGTTTTAATTGCAGAGATTTTTTTCAGCCACAAATTTTTTAATTTTTTCCTCTAGATATACATGCTTGTATTAGTTTCCAAGTCTTCTGGTAACTTTTTTTTAAAAAAATTCCAGTTTTGCCCAGTCTCATTTATTCCCAAATTTTAAATAGAGTCAGTGGCCACTGTACACTCTGTGCTCTTTATACTTTCTTCTTCTTGTTGCATTAAAATTTTTGTTATCATTTTTGTCTTCTTTCTATTGATTTTGTAGCCTGGAAAAGATCCAAATTCTTCAATGTATTCCATCACATACTGTAAGGATTTGGGGGAGGGGGGCGCAGATTCAAAACTGTTAAAAACACATCATCTGCATAGCTTTTCATTTTAAACTCTTGTATCATCCACTTTTATTCCCTTAATGATAGCAGCTTGTCTGATCTTTGTGACTAGAATTCCCATCACTAAGATAAATTGTAAGGGTGACAGAGGGCATTGAGAGGGATATTATTAAGGCAACATTGGTACTATAAGGAGTTTGATGTTAGAGGCATCAAACCTCTTCAATCCAAAATGCTGTGCCATGATCCCACCCAACACTAGCACTCCTGATGCCACTGGAAATGCTGCAAGAACTCTTGGGTAACAAGATAGAATTTGGAAGTACATGATCCAACTACCTTGCTGAAATGAAGCAGGTTGGGGAATCCATGCACAGTGTAGATTGCACATCTCCCCAGTGTGCATCCAGTTCATAGAACACACCCTTCAGATCCACTTGCACATCAGGACATGGTAGATCTACAATTAAAAGACTTCATTCATTGTTGTAAAAATGGGCAATTTGGTAAGAGGTGGCATCTATTGTCTGAAGCATGCCCTTGTCTGGAACAGGCTGCCTCCATCCAATGAAATGTACCATGGAGTAACTATCACACCTGCTAAGTTTGAAAACAACTTGTGCTTTTATTAGCTGTCAAGAAGAAAGGCAACTAAATGGCCACTTCAAGCTGAGCCCAGCTCAGTACCACTTCAGTCTCTCTCGCTGTCTGTCTCGTGTGCACACACACATACACACACACACACACACACACAGTCTGTGCTAAATTCTGATTGTCATCACCGTACTGAGAAATGCTTGAATTTAGACAGGCTTCTGCCCAAGTTGCTAAAGGGCTTCCAACAGTTTATTTTTATATCGACAATAGCTTATTTTTAGAAGACAGCTGTGAAGGGCTTTTCCTGGATATGTGGAATTTGAATCTGTAAATACTTGCAAAATCAAAAGCGCCTTTTAGAGTCTTCCCCCCTCCCTTTGTAGTAGATTGGCTATTATTTGATAGCTGCTAGGCATTTTTACCATTTGGCTTACACAACTATTTAACTTTTCTGTTTTGGGATCTTAATTTTCAGTCTTGTCATAGAAAACTATGTGGTAGTCCCTTGGAAAAAAGCAGCTGCCAGTTTTAAAAAACATACATTTAGCCTCTAGGAACAGCAGTGGGAGAACATTTAGATGTAATTGGATGAAACTATTGCCAAGCAAAAATAAAGATCTAGCCAGTGCCAGGGATGGATATTTTATTCAAATATGTAAACGCAGATGCACTCCAAGCAATTCACTCTTCATGTTACCAAGAAGTAACTTATTTCACTTGTTGAAAAAGAGTTGCTGCCAGCTACTCAGTGACCATTACACTGGCTAGATTTTTGGGGGTTTTTTCTGTTTCTTTTCCTCTTTGTGGCACTTGTGGTGTGTAGTATCACATAAGGATTATGTACATGTGGCAGCAATGCATTGTGGGTGCTGTTTGCCATCAGAAGTGGGTATGTCTCCGCTTTCCATGCATATATTTATGGATGAGCATTTGGCATTACATGACAACATCATGAATCACGGAACACTATATATTTAATAGCCTTCAGTGTCTGTGCCCCCATTCTAAAATCTGTACCCAAGCTGAAGGTATAGGTTGGAACAGATTTGGGGTAATCCCTGGATTAGCAGAAGAATATGAAAAATTAGAATTAAATAAAATCAACGGAGTTTTAAAATGCTGAGATTTTTCAAGATTTCCTTGTGAGATCTCAGCTGCCATTTTGGGCTGCCTAGGCAACCTAAAATAACTTTGCTGAGGCTCACAGTAAGAGAGGGGAACTGGATTTTCCCTCTCCCAGTTGTCTTCCCAGATGTATCCTTTTCTCATAGGGCTCTTTCACATAGAGACACTGTGTAATGTACTTTCAATCCATTTTCAATGCACTTTGCAACTAGATTTTACTGTGGTGTCTTCCAGACACTCTTAATATTCCATTTCCCTTTGTTACTACTTTTTCCCTTTTCCCCACACATCTTCGTTAGCAATCCCTTGCTGTCCTAGTTCTTCTTAGTTTTTATTCCCACTCTTTCTGAAACCTGTTTTTCCTTGATCTTTTTTTCTGAAGTGGCTGGATTTTGTTTTTTTCACCAGTCTGAAGTGCCTGTGCCATTTCACAGTGCTCCACCCACCTCACCATTTTGTCATTTTGGGGTAGGGTGGGGTGTGATTTCTTTGCTTTAAAAAATGCAGGCTAGGGTTACAGCAGGCCAGTGGTAGACCATGCATGCACTGAATGAACTGTCAGGCCAGTCAGAAGGCCCAAAACAAGCAGGCGATCATTGCCTTGCTGCCTCGTGGAATATCTCTTAGAGCTGTTTTCAAATTCTATGTGCAATGCAGGCAGACAAGCCAAAGTAGCAGCTAGAGAGCCAACAACCAGATGAGGCCACTGTGGGTGGGCGAGGGAACTGGCAGCATGACAAGCCCTGGGTGGGCAGAAAAGCAAGCCAAGACTGGCCCCAATCTCCACTGGCCAAAAGAGGTGACTGTTCGGTGTCCCTCCCAACACAGGCACTTTCTGTGAACAAAATCAGTGCACAATAATAATGAATGGGGCAAAACACAACAAAATTCTGTATTGATGAACAGAACAGGACCAGTTTAAAGGTACTTTGAAGAACCTGAACAATAAACTTCCAAAGCAATATTCAGACTTGCAATCAGGTATAATCATAGCTATGCTGGTCTCTTTAGCTGCTGTCCATAATTCAAAAAGGGAATGAAGAACAGCACACCCAATCAGAACAACCAGTCTAATGTTGGAAAGCAGCTAACTAATCAAACGGATGGACAGGTAGGCAAGGCACAATTTGCCAGTGGGCTTTGGGGGCTGTAACTGCATAAGCCAATGGGGACTAGTGGGGATGTTAAATTGCTCCATTGCTCCAGCACAGTGATGCGAGAAAAAAAAAGTGCCAAAAACAGAGTAATTTGTAAACAAACGTATGACACATACACAGGGAAGTTCTACATAAAAACAGGCACTGTGGAATGATCGCCCTGTTCGCACTATAATCAGAGGCACCATGGAGGCAAAGAAAAACCAGATGAGGGCTGCAGTCTTGAAGACACCTGTGTGAACTTGCAAAGTCCACTTGCATTGAAAGTGGAATGAAAGTGCATTAATCAGCATGTGTGAAAGCACTCTTTTAAAAAAGTCTATTATCTATTGATCCTCCCATCTTCCAACGTGGTTGTCCTTCCCCCTTCACATCTGATACAATTAATCTTTGATAGTCTCATTGTACTCCATTAAAACTGTTAATTGCCCATCTATGGTGGGCAGTCCCCCACCCACACCCCCTCACTGTCTGGCCCCTGATAGATTCAGTGGCTGGAGAAACATATTAGTGAGGTCATTTCAGGGCAAAAACCATGAAGCACTGTTACAGCCCCTCTAACAAATCTCTATGTTGGTGATGGTGATGTTGGTGATGGTGTTTTCCCTGGGGTCTGCCCAGAAGAGCCTCTTGGGGTTGGCAGCAGTGACCTGGCAACCCTATATTCTGTTCTGCCTCACACTTCTTGCAAGTGTTTTGTACTGTTCACTGTCTTGGGCAGGTAACACAGGCTTAGGATCCTATACCTTCTTTCTGCTTGCGTAGCACTGTTCTGTACTGGGAAGAGTGTTCTTTTGGATGGTGCTGCCCGGGCAGAAGGAAAGTGTACGGTCCAAGCCAAACTCTTCAACTCCTGGAGAAAAGCAATAAGAACCAAAACTTTTGTTACTATAAGAAGAGCTCTGCTGGATCAGATCAGTGGTCCATTAAGTCCAGCTTCCTGTTTCACAGAGTGGCCAAACAGTTGCTCTGGAGGGCCAGCAGACAGGCGATAAAGGCTAAGGCCTCCCCCGATATTGCCTCCTGCACAGGTATTAAGAGGTGTGCTGCACTTGACTCTGGGAGTTTCCCTCAGTCAACAGTCAACACCCATTGATGGACTTCTCCATGAATCTGTCTGATTCCTTTTTAAGACCACCTATGGTCGCGGCCGTTACTAACCATTGACAGAGCTAACAGTTCCATCTCTTGGACAACCATTGAACTTTACAGATCTCTTGTAGAGTACTGTGATTTAAACAATTTGTTCATTTCCCCCCATATAGTAACTGAATACGCTAATCATGCTAAGGATGATTTGTCTGAAGTTAATCTAGCGAAATATGATGGGTAAGTTCTTTCTCCTATTCATTTCTCTTTGTATGTTTGTAGTCCCCACCTGATATTCCTTCAGAATCCAATGAATAAAGGACATGTACATACAGGTATCCAGACAAACTAATTTCCATTCTGTCTTCCATGCCTACACATGTTGGGGTGTTTCTGAACCTCTGCAGCACTCAAAAAAGGGCTCTTTGCTGCCACCTCCTTCTCTCCCCAGGCCCTTGTGTCCCCTGAAAAACTGGGGGGGGGGTAATACGGCAGAAGTGGAATGTGTGGATATCACATATTACACACACGTACTCTGCTGGGTGAACTTTATTATTTATTTAATTAATTAATTCACTTTCTATCCTGCCCTTCCCACAAGGGAAGGTTACAACATTAAGATAAGACAATAAAATCAGATAAACTATAAAATTAGATGATGGTGAACAAACTACAACCCAGCTATTTCAGTGGTGCCCTGATGTTAGACAATAAAAAGAAAAGGGCTGGATCAGAAAGAAAAAATCCAGATTATAGATACCCTACCTTGAGAAAACCAAGGTGGCTATCATTCTGTGTCCTCAAAAATTGAAGACTATAATATAGATGCTAACAGGAGGGACCAGATGATATTTGACATCCTCTGCCTCACCCAAAAGCCTGGCAGAAGAGCTTCATCTTACAGGCCCTGCAGAACTGTAAAAGGTCCCGCAGGGCCCTGATCTCTAGTGGGAGCCCATTCCATCAGGTTGGAGCCAGGGCTGTAAAGGTCCTGGCCCTGGTCAAGGCCAGGTGGATGTATTTTGTGCTGGGGATCACCAGTAAATGTTGGTGTATTGAGCGCAAGGCTTGGCGAGGTACGTATGGGGAGAGGCGGTCCTGTAATCAGGGGTCATTTCCTGCAGGAGCGCACAGGAGCGGAGCTCCGGCAGTAAAGAGCCCAGGGAGCAGGCACATGCAACAAGCCCCACCCCCTGCTCCCAGCAGCCTTCAGTCAGAGCAAGAAGCACGCAGGTAAATTGCAGAACTCCCCCCGGCCTCCCAGTCCAAAACAGACCAGTGGCACCTTTAAGACCAAGTTTTATTCAGGTACAAGCTCTCCCTCCTCTGCGAGGACAGATCTGCACGTCCCCCCCCCCCAATAGCTAGCAATCCAACACAGTCCAGTGGAGCCTGAGTGGTGGGTGTTGCCTTCTGACACACTTCCGGTGATTTCAGGGTGTGTGGCATATGCAAATACGTTACGCGAATGAGTTATGCTAATGAGCTCCTGCACCTCTTTTTCTACGAAATGACCCCTGGGTGCCAGAGATTTGTTCCAAGGGAAAATTAAAGCATGGTTCTGACACACTTCCGGTGATGTCAGGGGGTGTGGCATATGCAAATAAGTTATGCTAATGAGTTATGCTAATGAGCTCCTGCACCTCTTTTTCTACGAAATGACCCCTGCCTGTAAGTATGCTAGTCCCTGGCAGCTCAAAGCCTTAAAGGAAGGACCAACACCTTGAAATGGACTCGGAATTCTATCAGCATTCAGTGCAGTTCACGGAGCACAGGCCGAATGAAGAAAGAAAAAGACTGTGTCAGATCCCCCCCCCCCCCCCCCCCATCCCACACTATTTCCAAGGCTCTAGTTTGTGGGGACCCAAAGCAATAGTAGGAAATACCCTGCTCATTTGGCATGTCCACCATACCAAATTATGCCTTGTGCATACATTGCTTAATTAAACTGCCAGATACACTGCTAATCTAGGGACTTCTTACAAAATTACAATACTTTGTGCATCAATCTCTCCTTAATTACTACAACAGTGAGTCAAATAGTATTGAAAATCCAATTACACTGGGCATGGAGATTGCTGTAGGAGGAGACAGGAGTCTTGAATCATTTGGAAAGCACCAAATATATGGATGCAGTAGTTGTTATAGACAGATCAGTTGGCAGCTACAGTCCAATACGTTACCAACCTTCTATACCAATCCTGTATCATTGCTATGTGCAGTCCTTGTCTTTTGGGTTTCTCTAACCTATGAGAGAGGCTCAGATAAGAGCTCATGCAGAAGTTACATCTGTACAGTGTGCACTGGAGATGAAAGATGAGTAATCCTCTCCCAGTGTTCTAAAGCAGCTGTGGGGAATTCAGCCATCTCTAGTGAAAGAAAGCCAGTCTCTGTTTTATTTCTCTTTTGAGGAGAAAGCACACACATATGCTCAGGACTTTTTTTGTAGAAAAAGCCCAGCAGGAACTCATTAGCATAATAGGCCACACCCAACAACAGAAAGTCATTGGCATATTAGGCCACACCCAACACCACAGCTCATTAGCATATTAGGCCACACTCCCATACAGTCCCTTGTCTTGCCCGGGTGCTCTGCAGCTGTGGGGAGCCCAGGCAAGCCTTCCCTTGGCTTGTCCGGGCGCCCAGCGGCTGCGAGGCTCCCGGGCAATTCGGCCCTTGAACAGGCCGGGGAAGGCACGGGGAGGCATTTAAATGCTTCCTCGATCCTTCCAGCCCCCCCCCCCGGCCTGCCCACCTCAGAATCGCTGGGGGGGTGTCGCGCTCCAGGTCTTCCCTCTGTAGCCACACACGCAGAGGTTTTGGCTGTAGTGGGCGTGGCCAGCTCTGAAGCCAGCCGGAACTCCGTTCCTGTGCGTTCCTGCCCAAAAATAGCCACAAAATGGGGGAGGGGATTAAAACAATAATAGAATGACTACAAATCAAGATTTAAAAAATGAAATAACCATGATATAATATGGTAGAGTGGCTGCCCCCCTCCCCCAATCATGAAAGCAACAAAAGCAGCCACTTACCTCAGCAGGGTCAGAGTCCATATATATAAGATGCCCTACATATATGCAGAAAAATATGACCTCATCAATTAACTAAGAGAAAAAAGGAGAAAAGTATCATGAAGGCTGAGTGTGCTCCAGGAGGCAAGGAATATTGAAGGCAGTTGAGACACAGGTAATCAAAAAGAGGGGAAAGTAGCCCTGAGAAATTTTAGATTCCCGGCGGGAGAGATTATGTTCAGTGCTCTACCTGCAGGCCAGAACTGGAGACCCAGTTAAACCCATTGTTTTCAACTGCAGTTTGAAGGGAAAGTGCTAACCATTGTTTGCTAGTTTGGATGTCATGCCAATCTGAGTTAGCATTAACCTCCATATTGAAAAAGAAGCCATGTCGGAGAAGGAGTGAGTGATTTGTGAAGGCACACAGCTTGCTTCCAATGGTCCAAAATCATGGGTTGGAGGAAAGTTTGAGACCAGTAGCACCTTTAAGACCAACAAAGTGCGTGTGCACACAAAAGCTCATACCTTGAATAAAATGTTGTTGATTTTAAAGGTGCCACTGGACTCAGACTTTTTTCTGCTGCTTCAGACCAACATGGCTGCCAACCTGATCCCGCCGGCGGATCGGGCCCCTGGGGGGAATCCCACCCCCAAAGCACGTCACATGGAGGGGACGCAGGCACGTCGGGACGTTGGGGGTGGGGCCACAATCATCCGAGGAAAAACTCTATGGTTTTCCCTCGGATGATTGTGGCCCCGCCTCCAATGTCCCCGACGTGCTTGTGTCACTTCCGTGTGATGTGCTTGCGGCGCGCGCGAATACTCCTGGAGCAAGGCTGGATTCCCCTGCTCCGGAACAGGTAAGCACCCTACAACCTGGATCTATCTTCATGGGTTGGAGGAACATTCAAACCGAGCCCAATATTTTAAGTTTCAAAACAGGAGTCTCTTGTGGGGAAAAACACTGAAACAATAATGAAATGTTTATGTTTAAGCAGTAGCTCAGTTTCCCTCAATCTGCCAGAAAATGTTCCTATATAAGCCATATTGAAATGTGGGGGTGGGTGGGTGGTGGCCCAATTTACTCTGCTCCTATCAATTTCAGAGGAGCTCATACTGAAGGATATCCTAGTGGTTTGTGCCCCATATGCCTTCCTTGTTATGTCTGCAAGGTTTGTTCACATTATTGAAAACCCCAGGGGAAGAAAATGTTGTCAATGTATGGTCCCAGATCCACTTCCCATTGAAGTCAATGACAAAACATACATCGGTTTCTATGGAACTGGATTATTCCTTATATATATCTGTGTGCATTTCTGGTCACCACACCTTAAAAAGGATATCATAGCTTTGGAAAAAGTGCAGAAAAGGGCAACTCGAATGATAAAAGGGTTGGAACACTTTCCCTATGAGGAAAGGTTAAAGCGCTTAAGGCTCTTTAGCTTGGAGAAAC